CCCACTTCAGTTGAACGCTCATTTAAAACCTTAACATACTTTCTACTTGTAACTGAGAGGGTAAAGATTTGTAGTCAATTTTACAGGGAATTTACCAGCTGTTTGCAATTTACTTACTTCAGAACTTCCATATTGAATTCATTCTGTAAATTGCCAAGGTACTCTCCAAGTTTCTGTTTACTGATCCCAGGTTCCGTCAAAAGAAACTTTGCTACTGCTTCAGGGTTATCCTCCAACACATGATGTGCCACAAGATAGTTAATCCCCTTCTCTGGTTTCCTTTATACACAGATCACAGAATGGTAGGGTTAGAATGTTGACACTTAAATTGTTAATGTTCTAAATGTACTTTTGTACTTCTTTTATTCTTTACTTGGTTATTTTATGACTTGTCGTTAAGACATTGCTACATCTCCTAAAAGTTAGGCCTAGTTCACACTAGCAACGTTACGACATCAACAAAATAACAACATGACATAACGACATAATAGCTTATGTCTCAATGTGAACAACAAAGCATAAGGAAAAGATCCATTTTTTCCCCTTAATATGTTGTTATGTTCATGCTGTTATGTGGCTAATATGTCAGTATTTCAGGATGTTCAAACTGCAAATGTAACGACATAACGTCCATCTTGTGTCGTCATGTTTATGTCATTATGTCACTAGCGTGAACTAGGCTTTACATGTACACATACTGTTAGCAACAAATTCAAACATAACCAGGGGTGTCATCAACGTTTTCAGAAGGAGGGCAACTGGTTTTCACTAGCCTGCNCGTCGAACTGCCAAGAATGCGGAAACTAATTCAAATGATTGAAAGCTGATCGGCCGTGAGAACATGCAATTGGTTTACAATGCATTTAGAACACTGATGTAAAGTTACGTTAAATCTGTTTCTAGCATAAACTATACGTAATTTTCATCAACAAAAACAAAAACAAAAACAAAAAAAATACATGACGATACAGTTTTTTGTGGACATTTAGCCAGGAACAGAGTCTGAGAAGCTGATAAAGAGTTTAAGACTACCAATTGCCGCGTGAATAGGCCATATTCGTATTCTCGGTATTGGGCTGGAACTAGCTTGCAAATGAGGCTAATGCGGCGAATCTTTTCAAACGCAGATAACATTCATCTCTTTTTTAATGATATTTCCCCACATGAGCCTCCCTCGCAAGTTATTCTCGGTAAGCCCGATACCGTAATCTGCTCGGTTACATCCACTTCCTCCTCCTCCAATCATCATCACCGAACCATCACCTGTACATGTATTCCATTGACACCAGAAACCAATGAGGTGACTTCCCTGAATATTGCTGATACAATCTGCTTGATTGAAGCCTACTGTAGAGCTACACGAGCTTCCATAATACACTTGAAAGCTTCCAAACGCAGATAACATCCATTACTTTTTAATGATATTTCCCTGCATGAGCCTCCCTTTCAAGGTTGTTCCAGTCCAATACCGAAAATACAAAAAGGCCTTATCTAACCAATTACTTCCTAACTTATAAATTCTCGTAGTAAAGCTCTCTCTTATGCTTCAGTACTGATAACCAGATAAAAATGTTCTAGAGGGAAAATTCAATCCGATAAAAAAAGAAAAAATCAGTTGGCCGCTAAAAAATTGCAACTCAGAACTTTTGAAAAAAAAAACAGAGGTCATTTAATAGGCGATCAAGAACTGAGAAATCACTTTTAGAATATTGCTTGGCTTATTGATTGTATAAATGCTTGACATTTGATCTATTTAGAAAGAGAAATACTTTGCTGTGTTCTTATTTTTAACGAATCCACAAATTCAAGGAGTAAGATGAAGAGGATTCGGAGGCATCGTCTCCAAAATCACTCTCTCCTGAATCAGCCCATTCTTCAAAAGCTCCATAGTTATTCTCGGTAAGCCCGATACCGTGATCTGCTCGGTTACATCCACTTCCTCCTCCTCCAATCATCATCACCGAACCATCACCTGTATTCCGTTGACACCAGAAACCAATGAGGTGGCTTCCCTGAATATTGGTGATACAATCTGCTTGATTGAAGCCAACTGTAGAGCTATACGAGCCTCCATAATACACCGGACAGCTTCCAAACGCAGACAACATCCATCACTTTTTAATGATATTTCTCTGCATCAGCCTCCCTTTCAAGGTTGTTCCAGTCCAATACCGAAAATACAAAAAGGCCTTATCTAACCAATTACTTCCTAACTTCTAAATTCTCGTAGTAAAGCTCTCTCTTATGCTTCAGTACTGATAACCAGATGAAAATGTTCTAGAGGGAAAATTCAATCCGATAAAAAAAAAATCAGTTGGCCGCTAAAAAATTGCAACTCAGAACTTTTGAAAAAAAAAACAGAGGTCATTTAATAGGCGATCAAGAACTGAGAAATCACTTTTAGAATATTGCTTGGCTTATTGATTGTATAAATGTTTGACATTTGATCTATTTAGAAAGAGAAATACTTTGCTGTGTTCTTATTTTTAACGAATCCACAAATTCAAGGAGTAAGATGAAGAGGATTCGGAGGCATCGTCTCCAAAATCACTCTCTCCTGAATCAGCCCATTCTTCAAAAGCTCCATAGTTATTCTCGGTAAGCCCGATACCGTGATCTGCTCGGTTACATCCACTTCCTCCTCCTCCAATCATCATCACTGAACCATCACCTGTACTCCATTGACACCAGAAACCAATGAGGTGGCTTCCCTGAATATTGCTGCTACAACCTGCTTGATTGAAGCCAACTGTAGAGCTATACGAGCCTCCATAATACACTGGACAGCTTCCAAGACATCNTAAGTATGAATCTACATTTCAAACTAATCAGGTTTTTCTTTCATACATACCTTGCTATCCAGTTTAGAGTAAATCTGAATTCCATGCTGGTAATCTGTAAATGAAATTACAGGGATTAAAATCTAAGTTAAGGGTAGTGATTGATTAGTGGCCCACACAGTCGGAACTTGTTCTGGTTTCTGCAGCATAGCTCCCCTTCGATGTGATGCTAATCTACCAAAGGTTACTCTGACAGCATTTCACTGGTTGCCCTTGAGGATGACACACTGTGACACAATGATAAATAATAATAGAAGAATGTTTCCCTGAAACAATTGCTGAGGACTTACAGTCATTTGAGAAAGTGGATACTTTGAGTCCACACAAGGAGAAGGAAAGCTTATAGCTGTAATAATGAATCCCTTCTCCACGTCCTGCTCTACCACGCTCTTTGGCAGCCTGAAGAAGAAAACACATTGCCTTTTACCAGGGCAGTAATTTAGCTATTACATGTCTACATGTCAAGCCAGAAACCAATGCCAAAAAGCGATCCAAGTTTGAACTGATGCACATCACTAGTCAAAACTGCTCTATAAAATGCCAAAAACCCTTAAAAGAATTACCTGTGAGGCCTTTCTGACTTAGAAATTTTGCTAGAGCTAAACTAACAAAAGACTTTGGTTACATTAGTAGCTGACTTGTCCCCAGTCGTCTTCATACATCTTTGTGCAGTGCTGGTAGCACAGGATGAGATAGGTAGGTAGAAAGTGAGAGAGGAAGATGCTTCTCCCCTTCCTTCTTCTCATCACCCCTTGCTCCCTAACCTCACACTTCTCACCTTGCCCCATGTAGTGCGCTGAATGAAGACGACTGGAGGCGGGTCAGGATTAGAAGTACTTACAACAAGCANTGTACCAGAAATGTAAAAACAGCCTGCAACCAGCTCTGTTCACTGGCTGAAACAGAGCTTATTGCTGAGACTGCCTAGTTTTCTCTTCTCTACATCCTTGCAGTATTCAAGAGACACATTTCACATCCCATCTTTTCATATCAGTCAACATGTGCAACTTCATTCCCAGGGTATCTCTTCTTTCCGCCTGACCATAGAAACCCTGAGACCACCAGACCCTTGTCTGAAGACCCTAGGAATGAGGTCACAATATGTGTTTCAATGCTCCACAAGGTTCATTTCTTAGCTACAGTAATGCATTGCTCAGGACTTGGTTTAAGAAGTAGGATTTGACCCGGTCACATGGTACCAAATCAGCCAGCCTATATCATGCAGTGTATGTTAGTATAAATCTACTAGCGTTCTATCACGAATGCCATTCTCTGATTGGCTATGCTACTCACTATCTGTTCTGTTGATAGTGAGCAGCATGCGCTAGGTGCCGCTTCTTTGTGCTTTCGAAGTGTCTGTGAAGAGAATTTAGATTAAATTTTTGAACGACTAGTAGATTTATACTAAAACAATTACATTATTCTCTCTCAATATCTGTGCTTGATAGTTGACTCAGGCTCCACCCTCGTCAACTATCACACAATAGAAATTTTGAGCTTATGATATAATTATTGTTCATTATACAGTGGGACATCCTGAACAAAGCAACTTGCACCAGACAAGCTGGACTTTCCATGGGTTTTAGATGTCTCTCTGCTTAACTGGCAGCCCAACACTGGGTCATACCAAAGGCCTTTTACCACTAGTCTTCAACCTTTTATTAGCCCGCCTTCACATGAACACTTAAGAATGGAACACTGTATAAAAAATGTCTTGGTCTGCTTTTGCAGCAAACTGAAGACTAACTAACCAAATTATTAATGGTACCTTTTTAATTCTATTGTAGATTCCTAACAGGCTTTCCTTTGGGAAATCGCCACCATTGTTTGTACCTAAAAAGGATTTAATTTTTTGATATGAGACAGATTCATTTTTCTTTTAAATCTTTCTTGAAGGTAACCATTGCAGCTCTAGTAACAAGCCTTACATTTATTGACGATGCTAAAAATATCTACTACTAATAACAATCTACTAATACTAATAATCTAATACTAATATTAACAAGCCTTACAGTTATTGATAATGAGTCAGTGGCATATTTTGGTACAGTTCTGACGTAGACTTATCCAATTTTACAGTCCCATAGTGTATTTATTTTGTGGGAGGTGTGGAGGCCTCATGGTTAGCCTGCTTGTCTCCAGATCGAGCAGTTCGGGTTTGAGCCCTGGCCGGGGACATTGTGTTGTGTTTTTGGGCAAGACACTTTACTCTCAGAGTGCCTCTATCCACCTGGGTGTATAAATGGGTACCAGCCAACTTAATGCTGGGGGTAACTCTGTGATGGACTAGCATCCCATCCAGGGGGGAGTAGAAACACTTCTAGTTGCTTCATGCTACAGAAACCAGGATAAGCTCTGGTCTTTATGGGCTACTTGGCCTGTATGCAGACTTTGCCTTTTTTATTAAGTATTTTTATGAAACAAGAGGGGTTTTCCATTTAAGTAGATTTTTCATAAAACACAAAGACAGTTGACAAGTCAACAAAAATTCCCTTTAGACTCTTTTGGCTATAAAATCAATGCTACCAGTAATGGAAGTGGATGATAAAGTTGTCTTGTCCCCTATAAAATGAGAGTACTTGGACATAACTAAGTGATAAGCTTTCAATACTGGTTATTGAACAGTACCCTTTAAATTGTTCATGAAGTCAATTTCTGTCATCCTTCTCTTGACGTTAGGGCTGTGCAGATCAGTGTTCAGCATCACAATGGCAAAAGCCAGAATAAGGATGGTATCCACTACACCTTTCTCATCAGAAGGGTTACATTCAACATACTGTTCAGCAAAATCCTAACACAACAAATTAGGCCATATTCGTAAACTCGTTAATGGACTGGAACAAGCTTACAAATGAGGCTAATGCAGGGAGTCTTTTCAAATGCAAAAGACATTCATCTCTTTTTAATCATGTTCCCCCACATGAGCCTCCATTTCAAGCTAGTGCCAGTCCAATACCGAGTATATGAATATGGCTAATTAACAGCTTATGCCAGTACTCAAAATAACCTCCTCCTTCTTCCATTTGATTTGAGTCTCTTGCAGTTCTAGAAGACCAGGAAATGTATGTACTTTTTGTTGATTTGTACTCACATTCTTAATTTAAATATCAAAACTTTTCTAAAAATAAAAAAAAGTTCGCAGGTACATGTCTCATTCCTGGTCTTCTCTGCAAGAAAATCAAATTTTCAAAAGAAGCAGTTTGATGAGAACAAAAAAAACAACAACAACAACAACAAAATGAAGAGTAAGGTGGGAGGAGAATTTCCTTATCAATTGTCTCTGGTTTTTTCATACACTGGATCCAGTTCCCTGTAGAGGAGAGCAACTTTATTCTAACCTTTCTTTCCCTTCTTTTGCTTATGTCTTGTTTTTCTCAAGAGGCATCACAAGGTAATTTCAATACAAAATGTCATACATTTGAACGGCGCAGGAGACAGACATACTATGTGAAAATGTATTTCTTAACTTGAAATAGAAATGTTTTCTATTCCACCGAGCAAAGCAAAAGTGAATAGAAGTTTTTAGCCTCCACTATAACTGTAAAATTTGTAATTGTAAACTTTGGACTGTACTTATTGTAAAGCGCTATTGATTTTCAGGGAAATAGTTGTATATAAATAAAGCATTATTATTATTGTTGTTGTTGTTGTTGTTGTTATTATTATTATTATTATTATATATTATTATTAGTTATAAACAGAACTTAGAGTGTTGGGAAAATACAACAAGGCAGGACGTACCCACACCCACGATCAATGTGTCACTGGCTAGCGCTGTGTGTAACCATCTGAGCTATGACGCCAACTGCACACTGTACACACAATTTACTAGGCAATCACAAAAATGAAGCCTAAAAGCCTAAAGCCCACCACCTACGCTTGCAACACTGGAGAAGTATTACGATGGTGTTCCAAAGATTATGAGTCCTGTACAGGCCTGGATTATTTTTTAACCCTATTTTGCATTTGCCTAAATCACACATAATTTTTCTTTTCGCTGTCTTCTTATTACATACTAACAATTTGGCTATAGATAGACTCACCTGCATAAGTTTTTCAATTTTCTGTGCTTCACCCTAAAAAAAATGTTTTAATAAATTAAGTTGAGGATTGCTAGTAAGAGTGTTCCTGTATTTTTTACTGACAGCAAATACCTAGAAGTGTCAGTACTAACTGTGCAAAATTTTGACCGAGATCTTGCTGATCTCATGGAGATCAGAGATAAATATCATAAGATATTTATCCTGCCATTCTCGTTTGTGTCTTTNCCCACTTCAGTTGAACGCTCATTTAAAACCTTAACATACTTTCTACTTGTAACTGAGAGGGTAAAGATTTGTAGTCAATTTTACAGGGAATTTACCAGCTGTTTGCAATTTACTTACTTCAGAACTTCCATATTGAATTCATTCTGTAAATTGCCAAGGTACTCTCCAAGTTTCTGTTTACTGATCCCAGGTTCCGTCAAAAGAAACTTTGCTACTGCTTCAGGGTTATCCTCCAACACATGATGTGCCACAAGATAGTTAATCCCTTTCTCTGGCTTCCTTTATACACAGATCACAGAATGGTAGGGTTAGAATATTGACACTTAAATTGTTAATGTTCTAAATGTACTTTTATACTTCTTGTATTCTTTACTTGGTTATTTCATGACTTGTCATCAAAACATTGCAGCTACACCTCCCAAAAGTTAGGCCTAGTTCACACTAGCAACATAACGAAATAAACAAAATAACACCATGACATAACGACATAATAGCTTATGTTTCAATGTGAACAACAAAGCATAAGGAAAAGATCCATTTTTTCCCCTAATATGTTGTTATGTTCATACTGTTATGTTGCTAATATGTCAGTATTTCAGGATGTTCAAACTGCAAATGTAACGACATAACATCCATCTTGTGTCGTCATGTTTATGTCATTATGTCACTGGCGTGAACTAGGCATTACATGTACACATACTGTTAGCAACAAATTCAAACATAACCAGGGGTGTCATCAACGTTTTCAGAAGGAGGGCGACTGGTTTTCACTAGCCTGCGTAGCAAGCGTTTCCATGAGGTTTGGAAGCAAAGAAAGACCGAGGAATGGGATTCTCGGTGTTTTGTCTGCGCGGAAAATGGGGCGAGAACCAACAAAAAGAAAGAGGGGGGTGGGAGAGGGGATGGAAGGAAACGCTTGCAGACAAACCCCTGGATTTTGAAAACCTCCGTTTGCCAGCAAACGGAGCTCGTGATTGGCTGGGCTAGTCCAATATTATTGACATGTGTCGATCAAAGGTATTTTAATACCTTTGAGTGCCAGACAAA